TGCCTGCCCTCAGTAATATCTGCCTTTAAACAGTTTCAAATGTTAATTCCTCATCATGGCAGTTGAAGCTATTTTTAATCCCACGTGAAAGCAGTTTGCAGAAGACCAAACTTCGCACGGATTACGGATCGCTTCCCAAAGCCAGGCAGCAGTAAAACAGGGGCACGCCATGGCAGGGAGACCCGGGATGCACACAGTGCTTAAGCCCTGAGTGTATCCCATTGGAAGGGACCTTAAAGCTCATCCTGTTCCTCTAGGGACACCTTCCACCAGACTGGGCTGCTCCAAGCCCCTTCCAACCTGGCCTTGAAAGCATAGGGCTGGGTCTAAAGCACTGAATAAAAGCAAAGTGCATTAAATAAAAGCTTTAAAATACCTCTTCCTGGTTACAAAATCTCAGCTTTTTCTCAGGTTTCCTGCATTTTTCCTTTGCATTTGAGGATTTATTTTCGGGACACGGGGGTGAGGAGAGGGGAAGCTGATAGAGAAAGGCTCAATTTTTGCAATGAAAGATAAAAAAAGGAGGAAGAAAGAAGAGCTCACAAAGCAGTAAAGCACAAGGAGCACGTTGCAGGACTGAGTCCCTGCAAATGCACCAAGGAAAACAAGGGCCACTCAGACACGGAGCGCTGAAACGTGAGTCCATCAGGAGAACAGATTAGCTGGTGTCAATGAATAAAGATAATGTCCCGGAGCAGGGCTCAGTGCATCGCCATCTGACTCCTCGCAAGGTTCTTTTGTCTCTTCCCACCTATGTGTTTCTTAAATGTGCCTGTGAAAAGCTCCCCTGGAAAGGGATACAAGCTCCCTGCCAAAACGCAGCCGGGTGACTCCAGGGTAGCCGAAACCTCGGATTTTATTCAACAGCTTGCGCTATAGAGTGTCTTGATCTGTCTGTACAATCACAACACACACAAAAACCCCCTCAAGGCATCTACTTAGCTCCACTTTTCAACTGCCAATAACACTCACAGCAAAAGTCAAAAGAGCAGCGCTGGAGCCGCGTCCTTTCCCTGCCGCTCAAAAGCTTCAGGGTTGCAAGGTTTGGAGATAACAAAGTCTGGCTCAAGAAATCCTGGATGCCTTTCAAGGACATTATTAGCTCCCATGAATGGGTTTGAAGGAGAGGGAAAAGGGGGGGAAAACCCAGCCCAACCCCGCATCACATGGAGCAGCTCTCTGCTCACCGCCTGCCTCCCCTGGGCGCACACAGATGCTCCCAAGCTGGGACACCGCTGGCACTGCTCAATGCACGCATGAAATCACAGTGTAATCCATGATGAAGCACGTGAAAAGTTCCTCCTCTTCATGTGCTGCATCAGATCAAAAGGGGAAATGACAATAAAAACCTAAATACAGAGGTCTGGATCCCTGGGATGGCTGTGCAATGTCAGAGGATGCCCATTCACTGTGTGCCTCCAGCCCATACACGGACCAAGAGGTGTTTACCAACTGCTGAGCCATCCCATAGTGTTTTTAACTACTTCTGGCCCCAAAGTGTAAGAAAATAAGGAATTTTTTATAATTCCTATGAAATCCAGCACGCGCCATCACCCAGGGTGCGGTTTCACTGAGCACAATCCCAATGCTGCTTTCTTGTGCGTGCTTTACTCAGGGATGTGAAGGGTTGTTGGGAGCCTTGGCCCAGCCTCATTCCTGTGTAACTCTTTCTTTGGCTACTGGAAAAAGGCAGGAAGAGGTGATGGAAAAGAGGGACTCAGATCATAAATAATACAAAACAGAGGAAAAGCATCACGTTGAGCTGATGTCGCTGCAAAGTTTTGGCAGATGGAGACGGGGAAACTCTTCTGTGGGTAAGCGACATCAGACCGAGTGCTCTCAACATGAATTCCCCCAAACTCCCTTTCATGCAAACCAGCATCTGCAAAGTCCTTTCCCTGCGCTGCTCCAAAGCCGCCGTTATCCACCGTGTCTCCTGCTCTTTTCCCTCTTCCCCTTTTCCCACAGGACTGCATCCGTGCTGCATTACGGTGCCAGGCAGACAGAGCGGTCCAAACCTCCGAGCAGCATCGGGCAGCTCCGTGGGAAACAAGCGCAGCTCTGGCAGCCAGAAAGGGAACAATCCCATACAGAGATCCCAGCTACACCCCCAAACATCACCCGTGGAGCAGCCTCCACCAGAGCACACAGCCCATGGCCCTGCTTGCTCCCAAAGGCACCCCAAATGCCGCCTGTGACACAAACTCTGCTCTCTGTCATACCAAGAAGCTCCTGGGGTGAAAGTGGGTGCTGCTCTGCAGCCACAGAGGAGTTACACCCATGCAGTTCTCAATTCACACAAGCAAGGGCAGGATTTGCCCCATGCCATTGCACCCAGCATCCCTTCATTTTGTCACAATGAAGTTCTCAATATCACTGCAAACAACTCAGGTTCAACCAAGTTCTTAATGTCTGCATTCACCTATGTACCCCAAAAGCAGCCAGGCAGTGTCCCGGGTTCCTAATAGGACACTCACATCCCCAAACCAGACACTCGCACCCCCAAACCGCCGCCTGAGCGGAGCTCTAGACACACCAACACCCTTCATCACACATCAACATCCTTCATCGCTCTGTTTCAGTTTACTTTAAGCAGTTCTGAGTGCCAAAAAAATGAATACAATGCTTTGCTTTAGGATAAAAGGTCACATCATGCTTGGATTATCCATTAGGTAATTTATGTTGCTGTCTCCAAAAGGTGTTTAATCTTCTTATAATTAGCTAAACCTATAGTAACTCAAGGAATTCCATACGGACGCTGCTTTTGCAGAGTATTTTTATCTTCCTTAGCAAAAAAAGAGCTACATAATAAAAGGGACTTTGGACTATTCCTAATTTAAATAAAACAAAACGTTCCAGTAAGAACAAAAGGCTGCAGGCAGTAACTTATGTTCTAGTGTAAACTACTCCGCACCCACAAGCAGATACTCCTGGCCACAGCAGGGAAATCACTGCAGAACTGAGCTACCAAGAAAGAACAAAACCATTCCATGGCGATATTTCCAAGGGATTCTTTTTTCCACATTTACTTCAGACAAGCAAGGACCTACAGGTGCCTTCAGGCCAAATATCTTGGCTTGAGCAGCACTTGGTGTAATTTTGGTTTCCTAGCACGCTCAAATATTTCAGCAATGTTTACACCACTTTGAGATGTTCATTGGAAAAACCTGAACTTCTGTCCAACTTCTATTCCCCTCCTCTCCAGCACAGCCCAGCTTCAAACATTTAGCTCCGTCTGGCTTTCCCAGGGAAAAATACCCTTGGTATAGGAAGGTCTTGTAAGAAGACAAAACAAGGGAGGCACAAAGAAGAGGAAACTATGGCAAATAGTTGTGTGTGTGATTGAAAACACGCTCACCCAGCGCAGAGCTAAAGCAAAACAACTACTGATTTTTCCCTCGCTAGAAAGGATGCAGCTTCTCCCCTGCGATGCGTCTGGCCCTGCCGAAACCCTGCCCTGCTCTAGCCCTCCAAATTTACCATAACCATATGCAGAATGATCTGAAAACATCGCGCTGGGCTCAGGCCAGGCTCCCTGCACTCAAACCTCACTACGCAGCAATCCAGAACTAAGATTTATTCATTCTTCCCTCGCTGTGTCTCACCGGGCTACGGCGATATGAAAGCTTTCGATCTTCCCTCTTTAATTATGTGCTCACCAGTCATTAAACTCCCATTCTGCCAAGCAAGACCTACGTTGGAACCCTCACCCCAAAAGGTGAGTTATCATCGTTATTGCTCCTCGAGCAGCGCAGCTACAAATGGGACTGAGAAATGAGCTGATAAATGACGGCGGTATTAATACAGCCATAAAAATAAGCGCGCTACTTACTGCGTCTGAAGGTGCGTTAAGGCAGGAACTTTACAGCCCAGATGTGGTCTCACAGAGCTGAAACTCTGCGGGTAAAATTACCACTAAAATTACACTTCCCATTAAACACACCGCTTTGCACAGGTTATGATTTCGCCCAGGCTGCAACCTCCCCTGAAACATTAAGAACACGGAAGAGCGCAGTATTCCCGAGGGAGAAGAGGATGGAGCGGCAGGAAGGACAGGGAGAGCTACTCCTCTTATTGTTTTCAGATGTTTCCCCGGGAACACCGCAGCGCTTTTATAAACCTACACATTTGGATTCGCTTCAAAACAACGGACCAGATCCTTTCACGGGCTTCGTGGGACTTAACGCTCTGACTCCGCTTGGCCCGGCCGCTCTGGAGTTGGCCGGGAGACGGGACTTTAATAGACACCACATGCACAGTAGCTGCTCTTCCGAGTGCTTTATCGCCTGAAGAGTTCAATTCCATTGAAACCCTCACAACCAAAGCAACTCCCTTGAATCAGCCGGCTCTGCCCTTTGACACAACCGAGGATCCAAGCGATGCTGTTTCACCCTACCCCTGCCTTCGTGTTTCCAGCCAGGATCAAGCCCGCTCCTGCAAGCCGAGGTTCTTGCTCCCTTTATCTTTATAAGCTACTCGAATAAAAGAATTCCTAAGGGAAGCCGGTGGGGAAACGCTGGGACGTGTGATAATCAGGTATTAAAGGTTACAATCACAAAGGATGGATAATCAGAGGGGAAAAAAGGTAGATTTCTGCTGATGGGCTGTCCCGCTCCCAGCCACCTGGGCTGCGGGATGGGGAACAGGGGGACACGGGAACAGGGAAGAACACGGCAATGGGGGCATTAGGGAGGACCGGCAGGACCGGCGCTCGCCTTCCCACCGCTCCCGACTTCAGCGCCGTCACCGAAAGCTTTTCCTCCCCTTCCTCGGCGAGCAGGGGTGGGAGCTTGCTCTCCCCTGTGATCCCGCGGCTCGGCTCCCTTCGCATCCCACCCCCACCCCCCCCCCCCATTAATTCCCCTCGACCCCCCGTTATCCCCATCCCCAACCCGCCTGTTGCCATCACCCCCCACCCCAACCTCCACGCTACGGTCAGCGATTAGACCCGCTCAGCGCTTCACTACCGACCAGCGGCGTGTCCCCCCCCCCGCCCTTACCTGTACCAGCGCAGCCCCTTCTCGTAGCACCTGTCGAAGAAGTGGGGCTCCGCACCCACCGCCCGCACCCCGGGGTGCGCCCGCAGGAACTCCAGCAGCGCCCGCGTCCCGCCCTTCTTCACCCCCACGATGATGGCCTGCGGGAACCGCCGGCTACCGCCGCCCGCAGCCCCCAGCCCCGCGCCGTCGGGGAGCGCGGCGGGGGGCGGCAGCAGCAGGGCGGGCGGCAGCGGCTCGCAGGGCCCCGGCAGGCAATAGAAGAAGTAGGTGAAGAAGAGGATCATGGTGAGGAGCAGCGAGGCGCGGCGGCCCCCGACGGGTCCCAGCAGCCGCCCGCTACATCCCATCGGGGGCCGCGACCGGCCCCGATGGGCAGCGCATCCCGCTGCACACACACAACCCCCCCCCCCCCCCGAGTCCCGGCTCCGCGCCCCCTGCCCGGCCCTCGCGTACCGCCCCCCACGCGGGGCGGGGGCGGCAACGCCCCGGGGGATGGGATGGGATGGGATGGGATGGGATGGGATGGGATGGGATGGAGGGGGGGCGGGACGGGGCACACGCGTGGGGTACCCAGGGACACCCCAGCCCTGGCTCCCCCCCCACCCCGCTGAGAAGCCACAGTCAGGGGGAACCGCTTGCAGGACATTGGAGGGGAAGAGCCTGGCGCTGACTTCCCGATTTTCTCCCTTTTAAAAGAATCACAGGACCATGGAATGGTTTGGGTTGAAGGGACCTTAAAGCCCATCCAGCTCCAACCTCAGGGACACCTTCCACTAGAGCAGCTTGCTCCAAGTCCGTGTCCGACCTGGCCTTGAGCACTGCCAGGGATGGGGCAGCCACAGCTTCTTTGGGCACCCTGTGCCAGCGCCTCACAGGGAAAAAGGAGGCTGCAGAAGGGTTTTGTGGATGCACATGGGAGGCTGCAACGCCCTCGGCTGGGACTAAAGAGCCGTCACCTCGACAGAACAATTAGCACTCAATGAGCAGCGCTTATGAAGCTGCGCCCATTGCAGGTGTGGAAACACACCCCCCCCTGTGCATGTATTTGTTGTACTTGGGAAGGGCAGTCCCGGGTTTCCGGCCATTCCCCTGCACCTTCCGAAATAAGCCCCAGAGCAGCAGTTTGGGTGTTGTGTTTTAACACGTGTGCGTGCGATGGGTGATGGGGTGGGATAAGGTGGTTCCCTGCTGCTGCTGAGGATCCCCCATTCCCTGGGGCCCAAAGGTAACCAGGGTGCTAAATAAGGAAACTTCCCATCCAGTGCCACAGCATCAGTGGGATGTGGGAGCTGCACCCCGCAGCACCCCTGGGTGCTCTGCCCAGGCCTTGCTTGCAGTGATGGCACCACCGCATCCTGGCTGCGCCCTCCTGGCAGCCTGTGCCATCACCAAACCAGCCAAGACCCGGTGCTGGGGACTCCCACGGGGCTGTTCTTTCTGGCACCCACTTTGGCTTCACTGAAGTGCCCCCGGGTCTATCCCAGCACATGCCTCAGAACACGGAGGCTCATGGAAAGCCTCCCCTTTTTGTGTCTGAAATCAGCGGTGTCTTAATTAACCTATTAATGCAATTAGCTCTTCTTGTAATTAGATCCCACGAGTCTCCCAAAGCATGGAGGGGGAGAGCCGCAGCCTAGGACCCGAAGGGTGCAGAGCTGCGCTGACACGGCAGCGTTGGGAGGCAGTGATGCTCCTGCGTGGCCGTGCCTTGGCCTGGCTGCAGGGTGCCGAGGCTGAATGACACCAGGGACGCAGGGTGGCAAGGCTGCAACGCCAGAATGGGTTCAGGGCTGCCTGGGCGCAGCAGGACGGGGCTTTGTGCCCTCTCGTGGCTGCCGGCCCCATCCTGCGCCGCGGCTTGTCAAGGAGCGGATGTAACAGCGCGAGTGCGCTGCAGATCCCGTCCAGCGCTCCCCGCCGGGGCTCCCCAGGGAAAAGGGGGGCAGGGGATGATGACGAGGAAGCGAATCTGTTATCGGGAGCAGTGCGATAACTAAAACCACATCCAAACTCTGCCGCACCGCACTTGCCAGCTCTTGTTGGGTTTGCGCAAGCCATCAGCAGCAAGGAACGGTTTCACTTGGGGCGTGTGGGAACGGCTCCAGCTCCCTGTTTGGGTTGGGGTGGGGGGGACGATACACGTTATTGTTGTTGGAAAATAGCAGTCTCTCCAATTGGAAGAGTTTGGCATGGATATATCCCTGTTGAGCTACTTCATCAAAACACAGGCGCTGGAAAGGTGGAGAGCTGGTGCTGCTTTTGGCACTGCCAGCGCTCCCCTAGTGCTTGATGCTGCTCTGGCCCGGTCAAAGGAGCAGCTCCTTTTCCTTTCTCACCTTCAAAACTGAGGAAAAAGGCTTAAAACATGAGCTGGGGCTTGCAGTGGTGAAGAGGGAGAGCCTTGAGCACTGTGAGCTGCTGTGCCCGAGGCTTCCCAGCCCCATGTTTGGATGAGCACGGGTTCATGATGCAGGAGGGAGCCCAGCATCAGCCAGGACCCCACTGGGCCAGGATGAGCTCACTGCCTTGCCAGCAGCTCAGGGATATAAACCAACAAACAGAAGCAATTTTTTAGCAAAATGAGGACATTTTGAAAATAAAGGGGTTCTGAAATGAGCAGTTCCAGTGTTCCTGGTGCTTGGTGCCCTTAGACCACCCTCATGCCTTATGGCTGCCCAAGGATGACTGTGCAAGGACAATGGGACAGGGATCTGGTGCCCAGTTCATCTCCAATCCCCTATTCCCTGCCAGTGCACCAAGTGCCTTCCCCCTCTGCTTGTACATCCTCAACTGCAGCTCTGATACTGCAGCTTTCCAAGAGCTTGGTGATCCCATTGGAAGGTCTCCTGCTGCTGGTGGTGCTGGTGTCCATTACACAGAGCTGCCTTCCACAGGCAGGAGCAATGCCACTGAGATGGGCACCGAGTGCCAGCACCATGCCTTGCTGACCATTCCCAGTGCAGAGCAGGGAATGATGCTGGGGGGGATTTACCCTCACCCCTGGGGAGAGAAGGGACAGGCACTGCTGCACCCCAACACCTCACCTTGCTCCCAAGGCCGGTGCACACCACGCGGTTGCTGCATAAGCCCTCCATTGGGGCTCAGCACCCTCGGGTGGCACCTACAGCCACAAGGCTGCTCGCATCCTGCAGGAGCCACGGGGCTGCTTTGGCAGAGGCAGATGAAAGCATCCGGGGCCGTCACGGGCCCGGTTATGGATGGGCTGCAAGTGCTGGCGGGAGCAGCACAGACACTGCGGATGTGGAGGGAGCCTCGGTGCTTCTGAGCCCTGATTGATGAGATGCAAGCGCAGCCGTTCACGTACTACATCACCACTGCCTCAGCCCTGACCGAGGGTGCTGTGAACCCTGGAGCTGATTGTCTCCACTGAGGAGACACCGGGCACCAGTAGGAACAGGAAGGTCCCAGGAAGCCCCATGACAGGGATGATGGCTCAGCAGCTTCCTGGGGAGCAGGGGCTAAGGCAGCCCAGGGGCAGCCAGGACACTGTGGACGTGCAGAAGCTGGTGCTCTGTGGAGGAAGATGCTCTATTGAGGGGCTGGATTACGGCCAAAGAGAGCATGCAATGGCTGCCAGGGGGAAGAGATCAAACATCCGAGCTGTGGCTATGGGAGCTCCCTGCCAATGTGCAACAGTGATGGGTGAGCAGCAAAAGGGGAAAATAAAGCAGCAGAGAGGGTGAAGCTGATCAGTGCCAGCACCCCCAGGGTACCAGGGAGCAGTGGTCCAGCCTGCGGGATGCTCAGTGATGGTAATGCTCCATCCACGCACAGACCTACCATCAGCCTTGCAGTTTACCACAGGACCACCTTTAATCAGCGACAGGCAGCCTGGCTGGTCCCTGTGCTCCTGAGGACCGTGTGGTCCTAGGGCTGGTATGGCAGCAGGCTGCCTCCTGCCCTACCCATGTCAGTTGGATCAGTGGTGATGAGCTCTGCCTCCAAACCACCCACTGCAGCATCCAAGGGCATGATCAGGAACCCCCCCATAGCCCGTCCTTTCCCCAACCCCAAACCCAGTGGGTCCACGCAGGATGAGACCCTGGATAACCACCAAGAAGCATCCCAATTGGTGTCCCCAGCATCACAAACCATCTCCTCCTCAGGGACCTCCCCTCTGCCCGCGGAGCAGGAGCTGCAGCGTGGGTGCTCTGGGGTTTCCCCAAGTCTGTTATTCAAAGAGAGAAAGAAAGGGGCTCAAGGGATCAGCGGGGATGAAAAATGCTTTAGAAACACAGGAGATCATTTACCAGGTCACCTCCACCGCGGAGTTTGCCAAGCTGATAAAGGCGAGCAAACTTATTAAGGCGCACACAGCTTGATTCGAAACGGCTGCTCCCAAGCAGCCAATTACTCCAGGCTGTTCCAATCCAATTAGGAATGCTGTTCCCCTGATTACAGCGGTGTGTTTTACAAATGCAGCACAACTGCCCGGGTTCAAAGAGCAATCCGTGAAAGGGAGCTGGGTAAGAGAGCAAGCCAGTGCCTGCAGCCAGGGGAGGTAAACCCCATCCCTGGGATGCAGGGGTCCCCATCGGCAGGAATGTGGGTACCACAGGGGATGGGATGCCCAAACCCCAGGCACAGAAGAGCTGCCCTGTGGCTGTCCTTAAAGCAGCACAGCCAAGGAGACAGGGTCATTCTCCAAGCTGCGATTCCCATCCGGAGCTGGACCGCAGGCTTATCCAGATGGGGGAATGCCACTTGGGTCTTTGTCAGTGCCACCCCTCTGTAGTCCCCTCCAGGGTCTCAGCAAAGGCCACCCCATGCCACCCAGCTCAGTCTGTGAGATCCATAAGCCTTTGCCCAGGGATCCAGCAAGCTTTGAGGTTTATCCCCCAGGTACTGAAAGAAAAACCCATCCTCAGTGTAATGTGAGGGGGGAATTTGCCCTGATCCTGCTGGTGGGAAGAAGCAGTTTGGGAGGGAGAAACCCAGACAGAATCATTGGAGCTTAGCCTGAGCTCCCCAAGCCCAGCCAAAGCACAAAGCAGGAACGAATCGTGTCTCCCTCCAACTGGGATCACGATCCCCTCCAGACCGGGTTTTCCATCACTTGGAGCAAAGGAGACACCAACAAACTCATCCCCACACTCACACACAGCATGATGAATGAACCTACAGACTCCATCCTCAATCCAAGGGGCTGAGCTGGGCTGGGGGGGGACAGGAACTTTGCCGCAGCTCCAGCGCCTTCGTGGCCATCCAAAGCCTCACCACAACCGCTCCAAGCTCCTGGCTCACAGCCACCTCCGGGGTGTAGCACAGCCCCTGTTATTAAAACGTGTGACAGCAGCTCGGGATGGAAAGTGAAGCCGAACATTCC